TTATTTCTTGTTTCTTCATGATTAAAAACCCAACATCACCATTTTTTCCCGATTTCATTATCAAAAAACGCCGACTTTTTTAAATTAAAATTTGTTAATTTTTTCTTTGTTTTTTTCCAGAAAAGCAGTCTACTTCTCTTTTGGGCCTTTAACTAAGACGCTGAAAGTTTGTAAGTCTAACCACGTTTTCATTTTTAATTTGGTTTAATTAAAAATTTTAAAGGGGTTTAAATATAAATTAAAACCCGGGAAATTTTTTTCAAAGCCCCTGTTAAAAACATACTTCCTTAGTTTCTTTGTTGAAGAATTAAATTGTAAAGGGAAAAGAAAGCTCATTTTCAACCTTTTGTTAACGAAAGGGAAAAACCATCTGCCGTGCAAAACCGTGGCATGACGGACGGGATTACTTAAAGAAAATTTGCATTTTATGCATCAGCAAAAAAGGCCCCAAAAGCTGGTTTACAAAACAGCGGCTCCGCTGAAAAAAAAATGCAACTTTAAAAAAAAGGAAAACCAAACATTTACTGGATTTTTACGCCCCCAAGAATTTTGAAAACAAAAACCCAAAAACTTAAAATTAAACGGACAAGTTTTTCTATAAAAAAAACCGAATTGTAGATCTTTTCTTTCTTTTAAAATCGTTTCCAAAATTTCCTTTTTTAAAATTTATTTAAAAATTTTGGGGGTAAAATTTTCCCCAATTTGCAGAAATTTCTTTTTGGGTTTTTGGGTTTTTGTTTCATTTGAAATTCTTTTTTTTTGGTTCCCTGCATAAAACTTTTAAATTTGCATTTTGGGGCGATACATATTATTTATCCCATTGGTTTTATCAAAAATCAGTCAGTACCTTTTACAAACAGTTATTCAAAAGACGAACATATTTAAAGTAATATTTGTCACAAACTCCTTTCCTTGAGTTTTTTTTAAATTTTCTTCACCATATAGATTTTTCTTATTACCAAATTTTTGTAAACCGTCAAAATTATTCCCGGATCAAAACATCTGAAAAATAAACATTTAAAAACAAGTTGAAAAAAATCTGAATAAAAAAACTATTTTCTGTTTATAATTTGTTGCTTGTCGTTTGCCGCGTGGCGTGGTTGCTTGTGTGCTGCATGCTGTTGGTGTGTTGTTGGGTGCGTCGCCGCCCGAAGACGAAATTATTTAATGTATATATTCAAATTTTTCTTTGTTATTTCAAAATATATATAAATCATCATTTGTATTTTATGCTTTTAAAGGTACATTATGCATCAGAAACGAATATTTTTTTTCCTTCTGTACATATGAACGACAATAAGTAAATTTGTCTTGGTGCTTTTCTATAGTAAATATCGGAAAAAAGTGATCGCTCGGAAGCATTTAAATACTGCATTAAAATCAGCAAAATAACAATGCATTAAAACCAGCAAAATTACAATGCATTAAAATCAGCAAAACAACATGAAAATTGCAGACTCGGTTTGAATGAGTCTGCTCATGAGGGATAATGAAAAGTGCAACTTCCCTAACGCCCACTAGACCCGGCTTGAGCGGAACTCAATCTTCAACACTTATTGTGCTTGAATCAATGATCCCGAATGTTCAGAAAAAAAAGTAAAACAACAATGTTGTAGATTTAACAAACAAAGTATAACAAACAAAGTACAAACAAAATGAGAATTTAAGATATTCCCACTTATATCTGCTGCATTTGAGATAAATAATGATCAGTAATTGAGGCATGATTTAACTTGGAAAGAAATTTTTTTAAGTTCATTTTCTTTATTTCCTTTTGACAAAATTGCATAATTTCCTTATTATTTTCTTCAATATTTCTTCATTATTTCCTGCTTAATTATGAAATTTAAAAAAAAATAAACACACAAATTTGACCAGAGGTCATTATTTCCCAATGGGGGGAGGGGGGAAAGGGGAATCCCCCAATTTTTCCAGGGTCATTTTTTTTTAAAACCTTTGGGATAAAATTTTACTGGCCCGGGGGTAAAAATATTAGGGACAGGGAAGTCAAAAAATATTCTTTAAAAGGGGGGGGGGTAACTTATAAAACAATTTTACCTTTTATTTATAAATTTTTGGTCTCCTTTTTTTGGGAATTTAAATTTGGCCAACGGCCCTTTTTTCCCGTTTTCATAGGGGATACTTATTTTTTTATTTTAGTACAAAATATACACTGTACTATTTTTGGCCTTTTTTGAAAAAAAAAAACACAAAACCAAGGGGAAAAACCACAGGAAAAATGAAATCAGCCAATCAATACTGAGAAATCGAATTATTTAGCCCCCAAACATTTTACATAGCCAGGGAGTATCATAATGAACCCCTTTCTGCCTTTTCCATTCATCAATTTTATCCAATCAGCTGCTGTTTAGTCATGCGTTTCTTGAAGAATGTCCCACAATGCATTTTTCAGGTAAATGTAGTAATTTTCGTGAAATACATTATGCCCATATTTTGGGGCTAGGGAAACAACCCTTTAAATTCGGCCCTGTAAAATATATTAGGGAAAATCACTGTAACGTTAGTAAATACTACGATATTGGGAAACTTCATTTTGAAAATTTGGATAAATTTAACCATTGCTACATAATTTCAACAAGTTGAAACTTGCCAGTTCAAATTAAACTACAAAGTACTCTGAAGATGCTAACGATGATATACCATAACAATTTACTTTCATTATACAAAATACTGGGTTTAATAACAGAACTTATTTTTTTAGTTGATCTTGATTTAGACCTTTACTTAGCCACAATAGTGCCAAAAGGTTTTCTTCTCAACCCAAAAAAAAAGGAAACCCCCAATAAACCCTTTGTTAGAAGGTTTTGAAACCCCAAAAGCTACCCGTTCACTAGTTTACAAAACCCAAACGCTTTAAACCCCACTCTCCCCCCACCAAAAAAAATTTTTAATTTATGTAAATGGTTTAATAATATTTTTTCCGAAAAACAACAGTTTTAAAATTTGGTTTTTAATGCATCCAATTTAATTTAATCCTTCGGGTTTTCCCCCAAGGGAAAACCCCTCTTTTATTTCTCCCAATTTTATTTTTTGACATAATTTTAAAGTACATTTTTGTAGCAAAAATGTGTATGCAGACAAAAACCTGTCTTTTTTCCCGTGATTATAACACATTTTACACAGAAAAATGCCTCCAGACTTTGTAACATAAATAATACTAAATAATATGGCATTGAATCATAAGAAATCAAACTGCATGCTAATATTCTCTCGTTATCAAACCCGAAATAAAAATGTTTTATCTATCATCAAATAGAGTGTGCCAAGGAATCATTGACCAAAGCCTTGTATGGCATACACAGATAGAGTTAACAAAAAAGATTAACTTTTATTTAAAATAGAGTAAAACAAGTCAAGATATGCGGAAATTGTATTTCATGCATTACCGGAATTTGATAATGGATACGTGGTATTATGTAATAGTAGCGAAAAAATAGAGGAAAAAAAGCATGATATACCTTAAAATAAACAAAACGTTCTGCTTGAATGATACTAGATTTAAAAAAAACAAGACCATTCATCCCTACCGTTAGTTAAAGAATTAAAATGTATTCCATTCAGTACTCGAAGAAACTAGTTATCTAGTTATCATATTGGAATACTAGTTAGTACACAAGACAATATATGACATCAGTCTACGTGAAGGATATATTATAGACTTGCACAATTCAAATATGACAACTTATGTTCTATGATCTTCGTAGCGCAGTTGCTATAGAAAAGCACATATCAAAATTTATTTGGGTTTCAGTCTGTCGGTTTTTTATGTGCTTCAGTTCGGCAAATCGACGTCGATATTATAAAAAAACACGAACGAGTATGAATAACGAGTATGAATAACTTGTATTAATAACGTGTATTAATAACGCATATAAAATGTATATATGAATAAGCAACAAATATCAACACCTGAATCCCAGGCTAATCAATATTATGCAACTTACAAGTGTGGAATAACTTTCGGGGATATCTATATTCGCAATTCTAAAAGAAATGACACAATTTCGATACATATTTATAAGATACCTACTTAGAAGCAGTATTCCCTAATTAACATGTTTTGGTCAAAATTTTCTGTATTATATTATTTTTCTGAATACACTTTTTTTCTTCTTTATTTTTATTTATAACTAGCATAAATTCTCACATATTTGAAGTCAGTCAGAGACGTGAAGTGCCATATGAAGAAAATGTTAGTACACCACGACATTAAAATTTAGTGCAGTTCTTAATCAACAAATATCAATCAGTCAGTTTATTTATTATATTTTGTATATGATAACGAAATACATTGTAGGTATACTGTATTGATGGACATGTCATGTATTAGTACTACAGGTGACATCTCATGTAGGCCTAGATGTTCATAGCTTATGTTTTGTGAAATGTTATATGTATACCGACAATAAATAAATTTATTTGATTGGATGTGATACGAATCATTCCATTCGCTTTTCGTAAGAAATTCAGGTAATCCTCAAATGAATCAGTGCTATACACTGGGCATATATAAAAGAACCAGGGAGTCTTTTCAATAAAAGCTAGGCACTGGTGCTCGGATTCCTTTGTATCTCATAGCTGTTTCTGAAGTGACTAGTCTAAGAGTAATGTCTACGTTTTCCCGCGAGGCGGTTTCACATTAATGGAAGATAGATGATACCGAAATACCTTACAATCTGGAATGGGCCCTAGAGATCTTCTGTCCCTAAAATTTTTGCACCCGCCTGCTTTATATCACTAATTTACATTACGCATTAAAGTCCGTGTTTATATGGATTTACATTGTTTCAAGGAATTATTTGTTTTGAAAGCCTTAGCATGTCGGGGTTTTCACACCTTTTCAAAAATTTTGGAATAAATCCAACGGTTCCCATTTTATGTACGGAGTTGTTGTAATTATTATGCCGGAATACGGTTTCCGGAATAAAGCTATGTACAGCGTTTGTAAACACGGGATGAGTTGTCGTCTCACAGACGAGGCGGGAAAACAAAATTTGTGCTTTCCGAAGGTATCATGCATTGTTTCTAAAAGATTAAACTCATATCTTTATAAATCTTATTTGTCTTAAATACTATTTTCAATAATCATTAGCTCATTGTAACAACACCGGAACCCCAGTAAATAGCGGAGTTTGACTTCCAGGTTTTTTTCCATTTTTCGGAAAATTGCATGCAATCACGTTTTTTCAAAAATAAAACTTATTTAATGCACTAAAAAAACGCAATGAACCTTATAGATCTATATATTCTTGTTTTTCCTATAGCGGGCCGTTATAGAATCTAGGTCTGCTTCCCCAAAGAAAAATCCTTTAATTTGTTTAAAATCATGCAGGTTTCCCCAAAAATTGAATTTAGAGCAACTGCGGGTATTATCGGCATGTTATAGTTATCGGCATGTTTTTAAAATATCATTGGTGAATTTCAAATAAATGCGTCATATGCTATGTTTACGTCACATTTTCGCAGAACACTTCCAGGAAGCGCGAGTTTTGAACTCCAGATATTTTTTGCACAAGAAACATCAGCTAAAAAAAAGGTAAAATTGCTTCCTGTATGTTTATCTTGTTACGTAATTTGACTGCTTACGTCATCGCTTAACAATGTGGTGTCCGTATAAAGTGTGTTTGTGTGATATTTACTTAGTACAATTTGATTGCCTCTGTCCTATTGGGCGCCTGTAAGAGTATGTTCTAGGTATAAGACCACTAAATATTGCATTTTTTATTCCCTTCCCGGCTTAAATGGTGCCCGATAACTGTAACAGTAAAAAATGACGGGAGACAGTTATCGCACATTGAATAGCAAATAACAGTCAATTATTTTTTTAACGTTTATGAAAAATTGAGTTTTTACCGGCGCCAGTTTGAGTCCAGAGAGATATCCTGGATATGTGTTAAATACCCATTCCTTAAAAAAATTTATACAGAAAAACTTGAAAAATGTTACTGAAACAAACGATACATGTTTGATCCAACCATAAACTCATGAAGCTTTTGGCCTACTCATTGAACCAGGGTAAAAAAAATAAATTGGCACTTAGTACAAAACTTCTATTCTATATGGACATCAATCAAGAGCAAGACATCTGAGCATTGTTTTGGGTGGCATCGAATACAGCAGTAGATGGAAATATATACAGGGGATTGTTTCATTTTGTACTTGATAAAAAACAAGAAAAACTCTTTAAAAAAAAAAAAACATATTTATTAGATAAACAATTTCCTTGATAATATACATCATAATAAATATAAAAAAAGGGAATAAAATTCATACAGTTTTTTTTCTTTTTCCACTTAGATCATTTATGACAACCCCCAAAAATTTTGTCAGTTTTGACCATTTAAAAATGGGTCTCCATTAGTATGGTAAAAAATGGCATGCCCCCAAACTTTGGGGCATCCCCAAAACCCTTTGGGGTTTAATTCCCCAGGGCCCCCCTTCAGGACAAAGTCCAAAAGGGAGAGGTGCCAAAACAACCACCAAACCAGGGGCCTATTCCCAAATTTTTACTTTAAGCTGAGAAAAACACTTGTGGGACCAAATTCGATTTGGGTAGGAAATAAAGGGTTATAAAAGGTATAAAAATAAAACCCAAGAAAAATTTTTAACATTGTTTTTAAGTAGGGAAAAATTTTTTCAACTCAAATTACTATCCCAAAAAAAACAAAGTAAATTGGGAAAATAATACAATGTAATTGAATAATAATTAAGCACTTAAATGAATTAATCAAGCATTTAAAAGAATTGCTAAGAACTATACAACAATATAAACTATATTAAAAAAACAACAAACAAACATCAATTAAACTTGTTAACTAGAACAATAACATAACAATATATATACAGATTGCAGGCATCTTATTTCAATCTACATGTATGCAGGTTATCCAATGACTTTATAAAAAAACATGGTAATTAATTTAAAATAAAGTATGAATCAAGCACTTAAAAAATTGCTAAACAGCTATACAACAATTCAAACTAAAATAATTAAACAATTCTTAAACTTATAACAATAACATAACAATTAATATACACATTGAAAACATTTAACTCTTATTTCAATCAACATATATACAGGTTATCCAATGACACGTAAAGAGTTACTGTTTGAGGTAAAGAGAATTCTTGATTTAGATGGGAGAAAAAACCCTTTTACCAATAACTTGCCTGGTCGTGGATGGTTCAAGGCCTTTTCCCGCAGAAACCCAGAGTTTACAGAACGCACCCCAGCAGCTTTGGGTCACCAGCGTGCTGTGATTAACAAGGATATGATTACTGGTTAGTGTAGAACTTTTACTGCTGCTAGTCTTAGTTAAAAATGTATAATACAGATTTTTGAACATCATTTACAGCTCCTTTTTTCTTTTGAAGCAAAAGTCCTGAATTTTTGTACAAATCATTCATCACTAAATGATGTTATTTTCTGAGGATTACCATTGCTTTTCATCAATTATCTAATAAAGTAGTTTTTTTCCTGTTTGTTTTAGGCTGGTTTGAGGGATTGGAGTCTTACTTGAAAAAGGAAGTGCCAAGTTACAAAGACTTAATTTCAGACCCAAGGCAGTGTTGCATCTAGGACGCGCGATTGCGCGATTTGCGCATATTTTATGCAGATCGCGCATTTTAATGAAGTCAACGCGCGCCAAGTCGCGCATCTGACAATTTTTTAACTTTATTCAGTTTATCTTCATCGTGTCTTGAAAGCTTCAGCCATGTTTGTTTTCACTCGTGGTAATGACTAAAATACGTACTAAAAGCGTTTGTAGCAGCCGACTGGGTCATCTCGCGTGTATTTTAGTATTCGTCAATATTTTTATTTTTTCTACTTCCGTTTTTTAGCCGACGATAGCTGTCAAAAATGCCTGAACGTAAAATAAATGAATTATTTTCGATAAGTCATAGTGTAAGGTAAATGTATGTCCCCCACATTTTTTTCAAGTCCCCCACATTTTTCAGTTGAGTGGGGGACAATCCCCCATAATTTTGAAATTCTAGATGCAACACTGCAAGGAGGATTTTCAATGCGGACGAAAGTGGCTTTCCAATCAGCATCAAATCCTCTAAAGTTCTGGCACCAAAAGGTGCTAAACATGTTTATCAAGTCATCTCAAGTGATAAGAGTCAAATAACTGTAATGGCATGTTTTAATGCATTTGGCAACTATATGCCACCACTTATTGTTTATCCTGGCCAAAGGTTTAGGGATACACTGTTATCAGGGTTTCCTGAGGCCATTTATGGTCATTCAGCAAATGGGTGGATGGACGATGAACTCTTCACCTCCTTTGTTAATCATTTCCATGAATATGTGATGTCAAAGAATATCCCCCTTCCAGTAATACTTTTTGTTGATGGCCATAGTACACATATATCATTACCCACAGCAACATTCTGTGCAGAGAATGGTATAATCCTATATTGCCTGCTTGAAAATGCCACTCACATTTTACAAGCATGTGATATAGGATTGTTTTCCCCAATGAAGTCTAAGTGGCGTATGCATTTGAAAAATTGGCAAATGGATCACTTGGGGGAAGCTTTCACAAAAACTCACTTCCCTGAAGTGTTCAAGTCTGTTTGGGAAAGCGTCACGACACTCCAGAATAGTATCAGTGCCTTTAGGAGGTCTGGTTTATTTCCACTTACTCCTAAAGGTATTGATGAAACTAAATTAGGGCCCTCAAAAATTATTGCTGATGAGACACAAAGTCCCAAATGTAAAGATTCTGTGTCTCCAAATTTGCCCTCTGCCGATATTGCCAATCTGCCCTCTGCCGATATTGCCAATCTGCCCTCTGCCATTGCCACCCTGCCCTCTGCCGATATTGCCAATCTTCCCTCTACCAGTACTGCTAATCTGCCCTCTGTCAATCTGCCCTCTGCTAATCTTGCCAATCCGACCTCTGCCAATCTGCCTTCCATCCCAGCTGTCCCTCAAAGTACTGAGTCATCTGATGTTGTAGAAGCCCCTAGCCAAGAAACTGTCCTTGATGTGTCAAACCCTGTTGTTTTGCCTGTATCCAGACGTGATCAAAACTATGTTTCTCCTTCCTTTAAAACTTTACATGTGCCTGAACCTAAAATAAAGAAAAAAAGAAATACATTAAGGGCAAAACTCCCTAAAGCATTGTCAGGGTCAGAGGCATTAAAAATTGTTAAAAGAAAGGGGAGAAAAAAAAATATGACTTGAAGAAAGCAAAGATTTACAAAGGAGAGAAGACAGAGAACAGAAGAAGAGACAGAGAGAAGAAGATAAAGACCGGAAAAAAGAAAAGAACAAAACTAAAAAAAAAATAAAAACTTGCGCAACAAAAGAACAAAAGAATGACAAAAGTGATAGTGATGTGCCCTATATGGATGAAAGCGATTATTATGAAAGGGAGGTCTGTCCTGGGTGTAAGTTCCAGTGAGGGCAAAGAAATTATGAGTGGCTTTGGGTGCGACTCATTGTTCCACGTTGGTGCACATAGAGTGTGTAGATGATGATGAATTTTATGGCAAAGATGCTAATGAATTAAAAGGGGTCGCATTTCAGTGTGAAATGTGTGCCTGAGAAGTAAAAAGTATTGCCCGAGAAAAACAAAGTAATAAATAAATTCAGAATTTATCATTGTATTGTTTAGCATTTTAATTATCCTTCATCATAAACATACCTTTACCAGGAATTTGTACTGAATTTGTGATCCATGGATAGAGCTCACTAATACCAACATTGTCCCTCACCTAAAAATCAAAAAGCCTGTTCAGTGATTTATTTTTAAACTTTGAAATATCAGTACTGACATAATTTACTTAATGGTACTTACATTATTTTAGAAGTAATTAATCAACATGACGGAGAGAACATGTAATTATTTTTTGTTAAACACGTAAGTTTCTAACTTCAATAAGGGATTATTGTAGCTTGTGGCAGTCATTGAATAAACATGTTTTCTAAGTCTTATTTATGAATAAACATGCCATAAATCATGGAACAGAAACACATTTATTTTAACTAACACAACTATCTCATAAAATGAAAATGGTCGTTCAACAGGTGGTCCGAACCGGTCAAAATGGGTACGAAATGATACCGGTACGAATTGACATGACTACAAGAAAAAGAAGCATGTCAGGCATTTATTTATGCAACTGAAATTCTACGGTAAGTGCATGTGTTGTATACCGCTAATTAAAATCACAAACTTACCTTGCAAAAGAAATTACTGTCATTAATTAAAAATCAATTAAAAGTGCCGATAACTGTCACACACTGCCGATAATTGGTGCCACGTTGTGTAAAGTTACAAGTCGATTTCACATTATCAAATTATTACGAAGCACCGGTTACGTCATCAAGAACAAACAATACGGGCTCCGTTTATTCAATACAACTATTAATAGATGTTAAATATGCGTAATTTTAAGTCAGCATATAATTCACCGTTAACGTGCCGATAACTGTCGCAGTTGCTCTACATAAAGATTTTTTCTCCCCTTTTGCAAATTTACCCTGTAATTTTCCCCCAAAATGAAGGGCAGGGCTGCTTCCCCAACCTATGAAGAAAAGCCCTGCTGCAGACTGCATTTACCACAGGAGCTTGAAATTCTATCAATAATTGCCCTAAAGTCAAATTCCAAAAAAAAATCCATACCCTATAGTATATATAAAAATATAGGGTATGGATTTTTTTTTGGAATTTGACTTTAGGGCAATTATTGATAGAATTTCAAGCTCCTGTGCACTTACAAACTCGCTTGCATGATTTCAGTCGGCCATATTCCCTAGCCACAATGATAACTCAAAATTCCACTGTCTAAAATTCCACCAAATTATTCCCCTTTTAAATGAACTCAAAGAAGGACCTTTTCATTTTTTAAAACTTTTTTCACAACAACCCTACCCCTGAAATTGTGAATTTTTAGCACGATAATCTGTCAAATTGTGAAAAAATAAACAAGAATAAATCATCACCTGTTGTCACTTTATTCATAGATTTAATAATTATGTTCATAGTTCAAGTTTTCTTCTTTTTATTCCCTCGAATATATAATCAAATTCTCAAGATTGTCTTTTGTCTGGTCATTATTTTGTTTGGTATTGAATAGCAGTCCTGCCAATTGTGATTTTTTTACACATTTTTGTAAATTTTTAATGTTGTTTTGGTATTGTGAAGAGGCCATATTTCGGGGTCAAAATCAAACAAAAAAAATCACTGAAGACTTTGTATTTATTAATTTGTAAGTGGACTGTAGTCCAGATGTTTGTGCTGTTTTTTCTTATTTGGATAGTTTAAAAAAGATAGTTTAAAATGGTAAATTTGGATGATGGCCCCATCAACCCTGTGTGGCTTGTAATTGTCAGTGTTTTTCCCTATATTTACAAGTAAATTCTATGAGACTCATTAAACTTTTTTCTTTAATAACACTAGGTCACATGGACAATTTTAGGGCACCTGGCGATATTTCAAAATTTAATTAATTCTGGAAGGCTAAAGACAAGAAAAACAAGTGGATAAAGCTGTTAAAGAAAATGGCAAGAGGTGGCCCAAATTTGGTGAGACAACTTTTTATTGAAATGAATTTTATCTTTTTGTAGAATTGTAAAACTTCCTAAAAGTTTGTTCAAAATTGTATAAAATTTTGCCAACCAAAGTACACAATGATTTTTCAAAATGCAAATTTTCTAGATTAATTTAAGTTAGGATTTTTTTTACCAAGTATGTGAACTCAAGAGCTGCAGTCATTTTCTTGGAATCCACATTTAATTTATTAATTTACTCTTTTTCTTGGCAGCTTAGTAGTGACCATTTGCATCAAAGAAACAAAGTCCATAAATTTTTATTATTTAAACATATATTATTTAGCAAATGTAGCATGTAATTGTATTATTTTATATTGATCACAATATAAATGTTTCAGGATTGGAAATCAAGCATACTACTTTATATGAATTTCTTTCCATGATTAGGTTTTGTCATCAGTATTTTGTTTTATGCAATTAGTGCATGCATTAGATTTGAATTTCAATATTGATCTAAATTTATAAAAAAATTGTATATTATTTTGAATCATTAGCTTTTAATGGATTATGGGTCTGCAGTCTTAAATTAGCCTGATTCTGATAAAAAAGATAGAATTTTTAAAATTAATATTGGCTCACATTCACCAGAGTGAGACATACCTATCACAGGAATTTCAGGGCCCTTTTCCCCTTCTTTGCTGTAGCCTGTATCAGGGCACTTCCCCAAGCCAAATTACTACCTTTTTTCCCCAAAAAACAGTCTAAATTTCCCCTTCTGGCAAATATTTCCCCTTTAACTGAAGAATAAAACTTGTAAAGAAACTTTCTTGTTTTAAAATAGATAATTGTTTTGTCCAATGAAAGCTAATAATTCAATAACCCAATAGAGGGATACCTTGATTTAATACAATTGATGTTAACTCAGAGCCTCAGTCTGAGTTTGCAACTTTCTAAAAACAGCATGGGAAATCCCTGCTGCCTTATTTTTTAGTGCACATGTGATTTGTTACGACAATATGGCGACCGATACGATGTCACTAATGTAAACAATGTCACAGAACAAGAAGAAAATACGATTGAGTGACGTTTGTAATTGTTTATTAAAAATTGGATGAATTGATGACCTTGTGTACGAGTAGCACAACATGCCCAACTGTCGGAAATAGCGAGCCTAGCACATCAGTGCCAGTAATACAGTGTAAACTGATAATAATGTACCCTCTGAATCAAACCAAGAACCCTCACATGACCAACATAAAATACTATAAATAGGAAATATGAGGTAATATAAAGGGTCAATAAATTGATCTGTAAAAAATGTTTTTTACTCCTGTTGGACAGAAAGCTTAGTACTATAGTAAACCTTAAATGTGATTGGAGGAAGATATGCAAATAAATTATGATATTCCCCCGAAATGTGTGAAAATATGATATTTTCCCCAAAAGTGTGGAAATCGCGCATTTTTTCCCCACAAAAAGGGCTAGGGCGCCTTCCCCAAAACTAGTGAAAAGGCCCTGAATTTAGTGACACAGTCATCAGAGGCAAGCTGACAATTAATTGGGTCATAATTGGGAATAGCCCTTCTTGATAAAACAATGTGGCTGCTGTCATTGGAGATTTTATTATTCAACAGTGTATTGACCTTTACCAATTAAATTTCTTTGAGATTATATTATTCAACAGTGTATTGACCTTTACCAATGAAATTTCTTTGGTCATATAATGTCTGAGCAGTAATTTTCTCTGACCTCACCAATGGGCATACTGTGCTTATTTTTTTCCAGTCATCAGTCACTTTTATTGGCCCGGTCAACCAAGTTTGAATCACTGTTGAATATGTTTAAATAATCACGTTTTTTAATTTCCATAGGAGGCCATGAAGAATCTGGATCTGAACCAGTTTCTGGACAAAGATATTGATCTTACTCAGTTCTTCAGTCAACAAGAGCTGGATGATATGGGCATTCATCAGCAAACAAGACTGAAAAACATTGCACAGAATTATGAGATTATGCTCTATATGGGTAAGACTGTTATAGACTTTTCAGGGTTTAATATTTCCTTCTACCGCAGGGACCCGCCATAGGGTGAAAGAAAATATTCTTTAAAATCATGTAGTTTTCCTACTTTGATCACAACACTTCACTCATTCATTCTAACCATAGGAACTTGAGAATGGAGCCGCAAATTGAAGCGCATATTTCCCATCGTGTAACGGTTTTTAAAAATGTTTATGCTACATCTAAATATCATTTAGTATTATCCGAGTATATAGCCTCAAAAATATATTATCAATTGAACACAATCTGTTAGTTTTAAAACTGGTCAAATTTTACAGTATTTATTATAAAAAAAAAAGACAAGAAGTGACAATCGCCACAACATTCGCCTTTGGCTATACTTGATTACCTTTTTATTCAGAATTTTGTTTCAGTTATCTTTGCCGACTATCAGGTGTGGTCAGGATATAACTTTCATGTGTTGACATGTATCAGGTGGCATTATAACAGGCGTATTTGTGTTTTGATTTAGGCTTATAATTTTATATATATATATATATTTTTCGTTAGGTTTGCCTGCAATTAAACCCGACTTCATGAAAACTTGTCCTAAGAGAGCTAAAGGACCGAAAATAAGGAACCAGGCCAGCCATACTACCACCCTACCTTCTAAGAATAAAATTCAATGTTCTGATTCAGACAGTGATGAAACTTGGACTCCAGATTTAGAAAGAAAGAAAAGAGCTAAAGGTATTTTGTGATTGCTCAAGTCATTAGCAAGACATTTTCCATTTTGCTTTTTATTCACTTCAAGAAAGCTAATATTTTGCAATAAAACAAGATTGAATCTGAGAAAGGAAATATTTTTAAAGCTCTTGTTTTTGTTTGAAAAAATTGGAGCTTTTCTATAGTTACCGTTACTGTTATGTTGTCATTGAAGTTGCTGTCTGAAAATTGCATTAGGTCATTATTTTTTATTATCCCCTGCCGAAAGGTGTCCGACATTTTTGTCTGGATAACATATATCAAAAGACTTTGAGCTATCATCTTGAAGCTTCATAGGTGGATAGATCATATTGAGGAGGAATGCAGTGCTTAAGAATGATAACTACCCTGCATAATTTTTGAGTAATTGGCCTTTGTTATTTTTCAAACTTAATTTTTGTGAAGAGCATAACTCAAAAAGCCTTTGAGATTTCCATATGAAACTTCATAGGTGGATAGATCTCACTCAAAAGGTATGCAATGCACAAGCAGTCAATGATGAATTTAAGATTTTGAATTTACTAGCCCGAATTCCAGTTTCGACCTTATTCTACTATATTATTTAACTAAATTTTCTTAAAATTTTCACTGGCCCAAACTATTTTTCACTGGCCATGATCCACCAGGCCAGTGCGAAATTCAATGACTGCACAAGAATGATAACTCAACCCTTAATATTTTTTTAGTTATTGCCCTTTGTTATTTTCCTTACTTAATATTTCACCTGAGTGCAGCATAACTCAAAAAAATTCTTTTAGATGTCAACATGAAACTTCATAGGTTGATAGATCTTATTGAGGAAGAATGCTGTGCGCAAGAATGAAAACTCTTCCTTTATAATTTTTGAGTTATTGTCCCAAGTTGTTATTTTTCATACATTTTGTCAGGAGCTTATCTCAAAAAGTCTGAGGTATCAACTTTAAACTTCATAGGTGGATAGATCACATTAAGGAGAAGTGCAGTGCACAAGATTGATAACTCTATCCTGCATAATTTTTTAGTTATTGCCCTTTGTTTTTTTTTTTCAAACTAAATTTTTGTCCAGAGCATGATTCAAAAAGCCTTTGAGATATCAATATGAAACTTCATATGTGGATAGATCTCACTCAGGCAGTATGCAGTGCACAATAATGATAACTCTACCCATCATAATTTTTGAGTTATTGCCCTTTGTTATTTTTCATACTTAATTTTTCACCTGAGTGGAGCATAATTCCAAAAGACTTTGAGATGTTCACATGAAACTTCATAGGTGGATAGATCTTATTGAGGAGGAATGCTGTGTGCAAGAATGATAACTCTACTCTTCATAATTTTTGAGTTATTGCCCTTTATTATTTTTCATACTTTTTGTCCGGAGCTTATCTTAAAAGTGTCAGAGGTATCAACTTGAAACTTCATAGGTTGATTTTCGTAAACTTTGAACTGTAGAAGCAGTTCAATTTTAACATTGTACTGACAGAAGCTAGTGATTTCTATCGCCGATGAAAGGTTGTTTCCCTTAGCCCAAATTAGGTGTATAATTTCCCCTTAATTTTTTATAATTTTGCTGAAATTCCCTGAGTGTGCGTGTAGTCCTTTGCAGAACTTAAAAGCAGCTGACTTGTGAGAGTTTCTAGATAATCCAGCAGAGTTATCTCTGCAGGGCCCCTGACAAATAAGAGGTATACACCTCTGCTGGCTATCTCTGTGTATAGCTGGTTTACATTGAATTTCAATGGGAGAATGCAGAGTATGTAATCAACTGATCTAATAAATAAGCTAAAGTTTATATTTCAAAGTAAACTGATTAACACTGCAGTCTTAGAAATGGTGAATTACTGTTGTGTTCCACTATGTAATGGGTTTGGAGGGTTTCATTTTCAACAAGACAAAATATTAAAGAATAAATGGAGCGTATCAGTTAAGAAGTAAAATGAAGTTATGGTCTCGCACATTTGCCATGCCAATAATGATCAAAATGTTAGTTCTGGCTTCCAAAACTTTATAAGCCGCTCTTAACATTTTTGTTTTTCATCTGATGCGGCATCTGATCTGTTCACGTCATGTCATAGTATATAAACGGGTTAGCTGAAGACATTAAGCTGAGTTCTATATATATAAGTTCTAAATTCTAGATAAATTCTTAAGCTGACAAAATTGAAAAAGAAACCAATGTTTGGCAATTCCATTCAAAATTCGCTTGTTAAAACCTGGAAAGAATGTTCATGCATGTTGGTCGTGCATACAAAAATATGTGTCAGGTATTAGTCCGAGATGCATAATCTTATCGGTCAGTCAACTCATCATTTATTTTTCTCAATGATGCATATAATGGTCTCATTGGCCTTCCGTGCATCAAAATTGTATCATCACAAAAATCGACTTGCATACATATTTAGTATCATTCAGTGAATTACTGAATTCAAAATTTATCTAAAATTATCTAAGGTCACCTTTTGGTTGATAGTAACATTTAAGGACATGAATGGTGACATGTCCGGGTCCGTACTCTCGCGGATGGACCCTCATTAAGCCTAGAATACATACATACACCTTAAGCTAACAATTAATAATAATAATCACCCCTTGATCATCAAGAACAAAATTACTATCCAGCACCCATTTACTATATAAAATATATTTTATATACCAGTAGTAATAGTAATTTTCTTGTTGCCTGTAGTCAGAGACAGGTGCATAGCATCAAAACTGATACATGTGGAACGGGTAATAGGATTTGCAAAACAATTGAAAATTCTTAAATCAGAACTTCCTGCAGCTATAATTAAACAGGGGTCACATATTTTATACGTCTGTTTCATGATTCTAAATTGTTAACAAACTAGCTTTATCGTAGAAAATATTTAAGTGATTTGACATACTAGAATGGAATATCATGAATCATACAATACGTAGTTGATACTCATTAACAATAATGTGAATATTTTATTATTTCAGACACACATTATCATGATTATGTCACTTTTTAATGCACATACAAGTACATCTTGCCTTTATACATGTAATAAAGTATGTAAAGCTAATGGCCTGGTAGCAGAATGGGTTCTCCCTTAAAGTCTAAATTTCTGTCATACGTCTCAAATCTGTAAAAATTATATAACTAGATTCCAGGGTTCGCACAGGCCATGAAAAGTCCTTGAATTTGGTGGGTAGTCCTTGAAAACTCCTTGAATTTTGTCCAGGGAAAAAGTCCTTGAAAACTCCTTGAATTTTACAGGAAACTTGTGAATTTTGTTCAATAATCCACGAATTCCTCATTAAGTACCACAAAACGACTAAAATGAGTAAAACAGCGGCCAAAAAACAAAAGAAAACTCAAATATACATCAATTTTTTAAAAAAAATATGACTTCGTAACGAGATAGTAAGACGGTACGGAACGGGTATCGGCTTTTATACACGATTGAAATATTCATGACGTGTAAATTTCACGGACCGGTTTGGGTTATTCATAAAAAAATGAAGACGTGTAATTTCTCGCCAAAATGTGTAGAAAAATACCCTTTCATTAAAGAATTCAAGGGTGATTAAAGAAAGGCGATGTGTAGCGCTTGTGATAAGGTTATAGACGTTTCAGGAATGGGCGAAAGCGCTATAAAATCGCACATTAAAATGAGAAACACAGAATTCACAACAGCGAGAGAATGTAATCAGGATATACAATGTAACTAGCTTCTTCAGTTTAGGTGCAAGTACTATCTTGAATAAAGATGACAATAACAATAATCTGACAATACCACTCCCACCCTCTGAAGCAACTACTGCGAAATCTTGCACACTTAGAAAAAACTTCATAAATTTGATAGTACTTCAACAGGTATTTGCATGTAAAACACTAATTTCATACATAAATTTGTCGCCCTTTTACACATATTTGTCTTTAGTGTTTCACATATTTTAGTCCTTGAAATACTTGAAAAAGTCCTTGAAAACTCCTTGAAAACTCCTTGAATTTTGTCCTGGATGGTCTGTATGAACCCTGGATTCATTTTATTAGTCCCCTACCGGTTTAACCGGAGGGGACTTTAGGTTTACCCTCCGTCCGTCTGTCCGTCTGTCCGTCTGTCTGTCTGTCTGTCTGTCCGTCTGTCTGTCTGTCTGTCAGTCCGTCAGTCCGTCCGTCCACAAAACTGGATCCCGCGATAACACAAAAAGTACTGAAAATATTTTTATGAAACTTGATATATGGATAGATGGCAGTATGGAGATTATGCACGTCTTTTTTTTTTCTTCCCATGTTGAAAATTCTGGTTGCTATGGCAACAAATAGTCTGAAAATATGGCAAATTTAACACATAAACTGAATCCAGTGATAACTCAAAAAGTACTGAAAATATTTTTATGAAACTTGAAATATGGGTAGATGGCAGTCTGGAGATTATGCACATCGTTTTCTTTTCTTCCTATGTTGAAAATTCTGGTTGCTATGGCAACAAATAGCCTGAATTTCAAGATTTCTGATTTAAATTTTTCAGCTTTTTCACTATATGTTCTTTATTTCTTAAGGTGTTTACTTCAAACTTTAAATATAAGTTTCTGGTCATCAACCACATCATATGTGACAAGGTTTATAACTCTAGCACAAAAAATATCAGTATTACCTCCCTTGAACTTAGATTTTTTAGGGGAAAAAATGTTGTCTTTTTTAAATAACTTCTTTATTTCCTAATGTATCTACTTCAAACTTCATATATATGTTTCTTATTATCACTCGACATTTTTTAGAAGGTTAAATACTCTAGCAAGACTATTTCCAGAATTATGTCCCCATTTGAACTTAGATTTTTTTTCGAGAAACTGGTATTTTTCACTCCAACTTCTTCATTCCTTATAGGATTTACTTTAAAATCCAACATCGTAATAATAATGACAAGGTTGTATAAACATAATTTCCTTACTAAGCATGGAAACTTAACACATTACTGTGATATAGACAAACTTATTTTATTATGTTTTGTGGTCGATATTTTCAAATACAGACTTCATCCTCAAATTCATTATAAATGGCAATACACAGGAGTGTATGACAATTAAAGAACTTTTTGAGGGACCGGTAGGGGACTACTGTATTGCCCGCAATACTATCAAATGCTTGTTTACTAAAGAACAAATTTGAAGCAATAAACTCTATATGATTATATTTATTTGAAGCATCATGAATTTACAAATATACCAAAATATGTGTAATTCACACTGATATTAGTTCTACGTAAATAAAATGTATATAATGGCATTATATTTTAAGTTTTAACAGAAAAGTGTTGATTATTTCTCCAAGATCATTTTCATACTGTTATTCAGTCTGCATTGTCTACATTGTACAGTTGAAAAAAATACAGCAGTTTATATGTTTAAGATTTAATGTAATATATTCAATTTGTTAAATATAATAACCTTAATATTAAATGATAAAATCTTCTTTTATTCCTGCTGCTGAAGCCCCCTTGGTAATTAATTACTTCTTTAATTCAACAAATGACCAGTCAAAATACTCTGAAACTTTGTATTAATCTCTGTGTTTACATCAAGTGGCCGTAGTTTGTATACCTCTTATTTACTACTTCCGCTTATCAGTAGAGTGTGGGAAACTCCCCCCTGAACTGAAAGACAAAAAAATGTTACTTTATTTTAAGAAAGCCTTTGCTATGTATCATCCATGTTAAATTGGAAATTTTATAAAAATGTATAGGTAAATCCCATTCTTAGGTTAGTTGTTGGAATTTGATTTCAATTGTTTCCCCCCTTTCCTGATTTATCATGCTATATTTTCTCCTTCAGGAGGCCTCAGGTTGTTTTAAAACATGCTATATCTGATAAAAATCATAAAATATATAATTATATTAACAAAAATTATTTTCCAGAAAATAAGGTTTATCCTACTTTCTCAACACCAAGAAAGCGAAAATGTAAAAATGATGATATAAAAGAGAAAAAAACCAAGGTAAGTGATTAGTTGTCATATCAGAGCAAAAAGAGGTTTCTTTGAGGCATTTTAGCTCACCTAAACACAGTGTTCAGAGGTGAGCATTTTTGATGGCAGTGTGCATGTCCTGCCCCACCTTCAGTGGTTCTTCATTATCCACAATTCCTTTAAACATCTTCACTTAAACCAATGTGAGTTTTGACTAAACTTCAGAGGATATACATAGAGGGCCCTCACTGTTTAAATGGTTTAAGGTTCCAATTCCATAAAGTAGGTCACAGGAGTTAAAACTAGACTTAAAAATGATTTTTTTTCAATAGAAACTTCAATACAAGCATTTTGAAGAGGGTCACATAGTTTATAAAGACTTACATTGTAAACATGATCAAAGATCTGCTGAAATAGTTGATTGTGCCATCAGCACTAAAAAATGACAGAAAATCAGGGCAATCATGAAACAAAAGGCCAAACTTGTATTGGCACAGAAACTAGACCTATCTGTATTTAGTTGTTGAGGTTAAACTATTATGGGCAGGGACAGGTTTTATAATGATGTTAAGATGATTTTAAGATTTAATAAAGCCTCAAATGCATAAATATGACAAACAATAACAAATAACATGTTTTTTTTTTAAGCCGGAGGAACTAATATTGACTTTAATTGACGAATTCAATACTCAGCTATACCAACACCAACTGTATCTAAATCTACAATTGATAAGCCCTAAATGTTTGAATGTCATGAAAGGAAATGTGCAGTAAATGTTCTTGAAAAAAAATACAGTTGTTGTTTTAAAACATGCATCACATTTAAATGTTTTTTGAGTATTAAATACTGTAAATAATTTACAGTTGAAACAAAATTAAGCTGGTCATTGTTGTTGCCTTTTTTTCTGTGGTATAAACTTGTAGTACCCAAATGATAAGAGGTCAAATGATGAATATATAATTTTAATAAATGGTCAAACTTTAAACTAAACATTGATAATTTGAAAATATTAATACAATCTTTTATGTAACTATAAGATATTATAAAGTTGGCATCATTTACATTTGGCTCATTCCTGATACAAAATGGCCAATCATGTGGACCATTGGCCAGGTTCTTTTAAATCTTCGTCAGATGTCTGATTTGGCGTCAATGTCATTATGTGTCAATGTTGCTTTGAATACCCTCTAAATGGGAGGTATATAGTTATTTAGGGTTTCTTTTCAATGACTAATTTGAATGAAGTTTAATGAAGTCTTAAATTATGTGAACGGTCGGGACATGTTTTTCATTTGGTGCAAAAAAACAGCCAAAAAACAACTGGAATTGACTATGATATTAAGTTTATTTTTGCATTAAACTGTACTTCCCTATGTCTGTTGTCCATCAAGTTCAATCTTTTCTTCACTTCAAAGTCCATAAACACTGGTATGCATCAGCTTAGCTCAAAGAGTCTTTGGTTTGATCCTTGATTGGAGACACATGATATCTCTGTGATAATTGATCTTTAAATTTACAATGAGTTTATTATGGTCTTTTGTCTAACACTGCTTACAGTATTCCAAAATAATGTGGGATTAATAGTTTGGCACTTATAGAGAAAGTGGTAATTATTATAACTGGTTATAAATCTAGGAAATCTTGCTAGGTGGACCGACAGCAGAGATATGACAAAAAATAACTGGTTAGTTATCCAGGATTCTTAATCTGTTAAGTTGACAGAGTTGTAACAAAAAATGTATCAAAATCAGCATTCAAATCAAACTAAAAAACTAGTCTGATTTCTGCAAAACCATCACTCAAGACTGATTCACAAAGCCTAGTTGCACCTTGCACTGTTTGTATATTTAGCCCTAAATATGATAAATTTGAATTATATAATTTGAATGTTTCTATTTTAGGTCTTGAAGCAGTCTAGTGACAGTACTTCAAAGAAAAGGGTATATGAATTTAGAGAAAGAAAAGCAGTGAATTTCATGCATCTTGAAGCTCCAGATGATGACCATTTTCTGTGTATGATATATTTTGGAATAGGATACATTCTTTTAGTACACTGTAAAAAAATTAATAAACGCCATAACATGAGAATTTTGGTTACACATGCACTTTTAAGCATATCTAATGAAATGTTACATGTCGGGTTAAAACAAATCAGATATTTCTTTAGTTTTAACAAAATACAGCTGGATAAAATGTGACTGACCTTCAAAAGTAAAAATCACAACTGATTCAATTGTTCCATCACATAGATCACTTGTTTTGTAATTTTGTTAAAATATACAGGTGTGCAATGGGGCCCAGTATTTCGGCTGAAAATCAATATTTTGTCAATTGTTTGATGTATCGAAATTATAAGTTTTCATTTAAAAGAAAACACAAGAGAAAGTTTGATCTTGATATAATATTATTAGGTAATCTGAGATCACATGTTTCACATTCATATTAAATGATTCTAATTATCCAGTACAAATAAGAAAATTTGTTTCATCATGAAACTCAATAGAAATGTCTTTGTCTATCCATATGACAATCCATTAATCATTACAGAAGTAATATTCATAATCCAGCAACTATTCAAATAGTACTTCTACAAAATACAATACTGTACAATAAAATATACAAATAACACACAATTAGGGCGGGCGTGGAGGGTAAAATAGAATTTCAATATGTGATCTACTTGTCAAACAAATACAGACTGAACAAAAATTGCAGAAGCGCAAGAGACAAAAAAGTTTACCGCCAATAATATAAGCGACCAATAGAAAGTTGTTTACTGCCTACGTAATGCATAAATTAAAATCCACAAATGAAAAAGAGTTTTTAAAAGGTCAAATTCATTCAACCTTATGATTAAGTTATTTTAGTTCAAAATAAACAAAATGTTTAAATGGACAATATTTATTTGCTGAGCTTTGATGCCATTTACACTTAAATTTTAGTTTATGTTGTAAAATGCAGTTTTAAGTTAACTGATCAAATGTTGGTCAAATGCAAGTTTTGCGGTGGCCATCTGTAGAGCAATTACAGCAGTTGTATCAATACACCCGTCTGACAGAGCAGACAAATTAGTTGTGTTTTGTCAGTAAACATAACTTACTCTTGACTTGTATTTCATTTGATATTCAATGGTAATATTATACATGAACTTCATATTAAAACTATTTATTGGTGTGTTGTTCGGAAAGAGACGGTTACTTCACAGAGATTGCAGTGTATCAATAATTAATATCATAATGAAAATTTTTATGCCGGCCCAGGCCAAATAGTGGCCGGGACATATAGTGTTACCTTGTTCCATCCTTCTGTCATTCCGTCTTCCTTCATTCTGTCATTCCGTCATCAGTTTCCATTCATTATCTTGGTAACGGTTGCACACATTCAACTCAAATTTGACAAATGGATATGTCATGATTAAATACAGGTCAAGTTGGAATTTGGTCATGGTTTGATGATTTTTGGCAGAGTTATGCCCCTTTTACTTTGAAAATAATATAAAATTTTCAGTTTCCATTCATTATCTCCCCAACAGTATTTCACATTCAACTTAAACTTGACATATCAATATGTCATGAGAAAATACAGGTCAAGATAGAATTCAGTCATGGTCGATGATTTTTGGTAGAGTTATGCCCCTTTTACTTTGAAAATAATATGAAATTTTCAGTTCCGGTTCATTATCTCCCCAACGGTATAACACATTCAACTCAAACTTGACATATGGATATGTCAAAGGAATGCGCAGGTCAAGGTCAAATTTGAATTTGTCATGGTTGAATGATTTTTTTCAGAGTTATGTCCCTTTCACTTTGAAAATAATATGAAATTTTCAGTTTCATTTGATTATCTCCAATAGGGTACTACACATTCAACTCAAATTTGACATATTGATATGTCAAAGAAATGAGCTGGTCAAGTTCAAATTTTGTCATGTTTCGATGATTTTTGGCAGAGTTATGCCCCTTTAACTTTGAAAAAAAAGGAAATTTTCAGTTCCCTGGCAACAGTTGTACATATTCAACACAAATTAAAGATATGGATATGTCATAAGAATGCATTGGTCAATTTCCAATTTGGTCATGGTTTGAAGATAGCTCACAGAGTTATCCCTCTTGAACTTTGAAAAAAATCAGAAATTTTAAGTTTCCTTTCATTATCTCCCCAATGGTTGTACACATTCAACTCAAATTTAACATATAGATACAGCAGTTCAGGTTTGAATTTGGCCGTGGTTCAATGATTTTGGGCAAAGTTATCTTTCTTGAATGTTGGAAAAATTTTGAATTTTCAGTTTCAGCACTCATACTTTAGTGAAAATTTATGTAGCCATTATTTTGGCTACACATATGCAATATGCAATTTACAAAAGGTTTACACTGAATTATAAGTTTCAGTGTCTTGAACTTTGTATAAAAATGGTTTGTGTTAACATTGAATAGTTTTAAGTGCTTTGAATTTATAATAAAAAAGATAATTTGTTAAATATTATAACATCTGAAATTTTGGCTGCAAGCGGGGGCATCCGTGGCATGACAACACATTTCTAGTTGACAATGACTAATAATTTCTTTGTTTAAATTTGCACAATATTCATATATATATATTTTCCTTAATATAAATCATACATAATGTATTCATGTTTTAGACTGTGAGGATTGTAACAAAGAGTATGACATGGATTGCCCCATACATGGACCGTTGCAGTATATTAGAGATACAGCGGTAAATTTTTTATTTCTATAGGAATTTGTTCTTTTTCTTAAGATCATTTGGACTAATGTGCATTTTTTTCTTTTTCTAAAAATTATTTAAAGTTCCCAGTAATAAATTCATGGTAAAAGATATGTAACCTTTTAGTTGTCCCCCGCCTTTTCGAAGAAAAAAGGGGGATATAGAAATAGGCTCCGTCCGTCTGTCCGTCCGTCCGTCCGTCCGTCACACTTTCGTGTCCGGTCCATAACTTTGTCATAAATGAAAGGAATTTGAAATAACTTGGCACAAATGTTTATTATAATAAGACGATGTGTCATGCGCAACAACCAGACCCCTACCTCCAGGGTCAAGGTCACACTTGCTCATTCAAGGTCAACATTGCCTATTTGAGGGTATATGTCGTGTCCGGTCCATAACTTTTCTTATCTATGAAGGGATTTTGTAAATACTTGCCATAATTGTTCACAATAATCAGATGATGTGTCATGCACAAAAACCAGTCACCTACCTTCAAGGTCAAGGTCACACTTGGAGGTCAAATATTAACATAGTCTGTTACAGGGTATATTTCTTGTCCGGTCCATAACTTTGTCATTTATCAAAGGAATTTGAAATTACTTGGCACAAATGTTTGTTATAATAAGAGGATGTGTCATGCACAACAACCAGACCCGTACCTTCAGGGTCAAGGTCGTACTTGCTCATTCAAGGTTAACATTGTCTATTTGAGGGTATATGTCGTGTCCGGTCCATAACTTTCTTATCTATGAAGGGATTTTGTAAATAATTGCTATAATTGTTCACAATAATCAGACGATGTGTCATGCGCAAAAACCAGTCACCTACCTTCAAGGTCAAGGTCACACTTGGAGGTCAAATATTAACATAGTCTGTTACAGGGTATATTTCGTGTCCGGTCCATAACTTTGTCATTTATCAAAGGAATTTGAGATAACTTGGCACAAATGTTTGTTATAATAAGACGATGTGTCATGCGCAACAACCAGACCCGTACCTTCAGGGTCAAGGTCGTACTTGCTCATTCAAGGTCAACATTGTCTATTTGAGGGTATATGTCGTGTCCGGTCCATAACTTTCTTATCTATGAAGGACTTTTGAAAATACTTGCCATAATTGTTCACAATAATCAGATGATGTGTCATACGCAAAAACCGGTCACCTACCTCCAAGGTCAAGGTCACACTTGGAGGTCAAATACTTGCATAGTCTGTTACAGGGTATATTTTGTGTCAGGTCTATAACTTTTTCATAGATCAAAGGATTTTGAAAACACTTCGCACAAATAGTGACTATAATAAGAGGATGTGTCATGCGCAACACCTGCATCCCTACCTTCAAGGTCAAGGTCACACTTAGAGGTCAAAAATTAACATAGTCTGTTATAGGATATATTTTGTGTCGAATCTAGAACTTCTTCATAGTTCAAGGGATTTTGGAATAACTTGGCACAAATAGTCACAATAATAAGCCGATATGTCAGGTACAACACCTGCACCCCTACCTCTTAAGGTCAAGGTCACACTTAGAGGTCAAAGGTTAACAGAGTCTGTTATTTGGTATATTTTTTGTCCCGTCCATTACTTCTTCATAGATTAAGGGATTTTGAAAATACTTTGCACAAATAGTCACAATGATTAGATGATATGTCATGCGTAACATCTGTGTCCCTACCTCCAAGGTCAAGGTCACACTTAGAGGTCAAAGATTTACATAGTCTGTTATAGGGTATATTTTGTGTCCAATCTATAACTTCTTCATAGTTCAAGGGATTTTGAAAATACTTGGCACAAATAGTCTCAATAATAAGACATTATGTCATGCACAACACCTGCTCCCCAACCTCCAAGGTCAAGGTCACACTTAGAGGTCAAAGCTTAACATGATAAATTTTTAAATTCCATGTTTCATTTTATTTCTTTAACAAATTTATTGTTACATTTGCAGATCTAGCATTGATCATAATTTTGGACTGAATGTCCTGAGATCCATACCTCAATCTTTTTAATTAGCACAAGTTTATGCTTCATAGAAAACTCCCGGGGCGGGGGACGTTGGTAACTCTGTTACAAATTCTTGTTTAAACATATTTTATTTCAAACATTTTCACACAAACAATTATTACATACAATCATTAGTTACATAATAAACAATGCTGAAAAAGGATTAGATCCGAAAGCATTCAATGCTTATAGAGGTCTTTTCCTCATATGCAACCTTGAAGAATATTACAATGTCAGATTATGCGCACTAAATAGAAAATATGATGTCTTTTCCGCCATCTTTTATATATAAGTCTTCTGTTCACTATCATGAGTGTATTTAATAAATTTTTTAAAGATCCTGTAACACATTTTTTTCATGGTTTTATTTCATAAATATGATTCTCAAATTAAGATTTGTCAATATTGTATTTCCAATAAGCATTATTAGTCCCCTACCGGTTTACCGGAGGGGACTTTAGGTTTACCCTCCGTCCGTCTGTCCGTCCGTCCATCTGTCCGTCCGTCAGTCCGTCCGTCCACAAAACTGGATCCCGCGATAACGCAAAAAGTACTGAAAATATTTTAATGAAACTTGATATATGGATAGATGGCAGTATGGAGATTATGCACGTCTTTTTCTTTTCTTCCTATGTTGAAAATTCTGGTTGCTATGGCAACAAATAGACTGAAAATGTGGCAAATTTTACACATAACCTGGATCCCGCAATAACGCAAAAAGTACTGAAAATATGTTTATGAAACTTGATATATGGATAGATGGCAGTATGGAGATTATGCACGTCTTTTTCTTTTCTTCCTATGTTGAAAATTCTGGTTGCTATGGCAACAAATAGACTGAAAATATGGCAAATTTTACACATAACCTGGATCCAGTGGTAACACAAAAAGTACTGAAAATATATGTTTATGAAACTTGACATATGGGTAGATGGCAGTATGGAAATTATGCACTTCCTTTTTTATCTTCCTATGTTGAAAATTCTGGTTGCTATGGCAACAAATAGACTGAATTTCAAGATTTCTGATTCTAGTTTTTAAGTTTTTTCACTATAAGTTATTTATTTCTTAAGGTATTTTCTTCAAACTTTAAATATAAGTTGCTTGTCATCAACCACATCATATGTGACAAGGTTTACAACTCTAGCACAAAATTTATCAGAATTACCTCCCTTGAACTTAAAATTTTCATGAAAAAAACATTGTTTTTTTTAATAACTTCTTTTTCTGAATGTATCTACTTCAAACTTCATATAAATGTTTCTTATTGTCACTCAACATTTGTGAGTGTTCAATACTCTAGCAGCAAGACTACTATTTCCAGAATTATGCCCCTTTTGAACTTAGACTTTCTTTTGAGAAATTGGTAATTTTTACTCCAACTTCTTCAGTCATGATAGGATTTTAAAAATGTTATATTTTGATAACAGGGATGTTTAAAAAATAACTTTAGAGTGTCCTTCAGTCCATCTGTCTGTACATAAAAACTGTTTCCTGTGATCACTTTTAAAGAACTTTTTCAACAAATCTACTTAAAATAGGAACCTAAGTGAATGGCCAATGGCCCTTCAGAATGTTGCTTGGGCTCTTACCGGTAGGGGACTTATGGATTGCTTGCAATACTATATGATAATTGCTTGTTTATAAAGATATTTCCCAATTTAACATTTTATGTAAATGAAGGGAGGTAATAAGAACTTCATTTTCTATAAATTCTAAGTCAAATTTTCCAATAAGAAATGAATGCATGTAATTTATTGATTTAATATAATGTGCACAAATATTTGCAGTACAAATTTTATATATTCTTTGATGTTTGAAAATTGTTTTATTTGCATAATTATATACATATATAATTTTTTGCAAGTGTTGACGCAAATACACACACAGGAATACACACAGTAACAATATCAATCAAAAACAAAAGACGGCAACAAATGGCTGTTGATAAGAAAACAACATAGTGTACTGGAGCATTATACTGGATAACAGTCTGCGAAATTAACAGTTGTCCTATTGCCCGAGACAACCATTTTTTGGTTCGGACAACCAATTTATAAAAGTTTACTTGCCCGAGGGACAAATAAAAATTTGCAGAAAGTATTCATCAAAATGCCAACAAATAGTGATAAAATTGCAAGATATCAAATACAATTAAGTTTGCTTACATTTATGACTGTTTCTCACTGAAGATAAGTTTGCAGATTTGATCAATAATTGCTTGGAGATGTTCTGATGAAAATACTTGGGGCAACCAGTGTTTACTTCGGACAAACAAATTATTTGACATGGTTGCCTGAATGACACCAACAATTTTTAAACCCTAATTCCACAGACTGGGATAAATAAGAGTTGACAGTTTAATAGATTTGCATAAAAGAAGCAATGGTTTTTATTGTCAAAGTAAAACATTAATTGATTATCACAAATGCTCAGGATAACAAGTAATCATTGTGCATACACTTTTGCGAATTGACTTTAAAATGATGTGTAACAAAAGTTATGGATTGGACCAGATTGTCTAACTTCTGAGCTTTGGTGTATAACAGCGTAGCCTTGAATACCAGGGATCTAGGTCTTGTATGACACACTGTCACAACTTTTGTGCCAAATCATTTCAAGGTCCCATGATGCATGATAGAGTAATGGGCTGGACAAGATTTTTAACTGCTACCTTCGACCTCTAAGTCACCTTGACCTTGGAGCTAAGGTTCTAGGTCTACCACATGTACTACACATATGTGCAAAGTTATTTTTAAGAGAGAAAGTAATGGGGGAGACAAAATTTCTAACTGCTGACCTTTGACCTCTTAGTGTGAGACAGGTGTCTGAGTCTTAGGTATGACACTTCATCTTTTTGTGCCCAATTGTTTCAAAATTGTTTGATGTATGAAAGTACTAGGCCAGACAATGTTTTCTAACTGCTGACCTTAGACCTACAAGTATTATGTTGACCTTTGAGCTAGGCGTCTAGGTCTTGCCATGACACACTCATTGTGCTTAACATTTTTGCCAACTCCAGTGCATGGTTGAGTTACATACATGTTACTAAACAAGAGCTGTCACAGGAGACAGCCAAGCTTGACTAATAAAATACTGGACGCAGTAAGGAGGACAAAACTATGAAAGGAAAATCAATTATGTATAATTAAGTATTAAGTTATAGTAAAAAAATAAAATTTGTTAAAATAAATTCCAAGATCAAGGGAAATAATTCTAGAAATAGTCACGCTAGAGTTATGAACCTTGTCACACAACATGTATGTAATGAAAAGAAGTATATATTTGAAGTTTGAAGTAGTTACCTTAAAAAGTAACAAAGTTATAATATTTCTTAAAGAAAATCCAAAGTTCAAAGAGATAAATCTGTAAAAATTACTTCAAGAGTTATGAACATTGTCACATAAAATATAATTGATTATAAGGAATAAGTATTTGAAGTTTGAGGTAGATACCTTTAAAACTAAAAAAGTTCTAGTAAAAAATAACATTTTTCTAGTAAAAAAATCTAAGTTGATGGGGAGATAATTCTTGCAATATTGGTGCTAGAGTTATGAACCTTGTCACATCAGATGTGGATGATGATAAGGTACATTTATTTGAAGTATGAAGTTGATCCCTTTAGAAATGAATAAGTTACAGTAAAAAATAGTATTTTTTAAGGAAAATTCTAAGTTCAAGGGGAGATAAATCTGAAAATATTGGTGCTAGAGTTATGAACCTTGTCACATAAGATGTGGTTGATGATAAGGAACATATATTTGAAGTATGAAGTTGATCCCTTAAGAAATAAAGAAGTAACAGTAAAAAATAATATTTTTTAGGAAAATTCTAAGTTCAAGGGGAGATAAATCTGAAAATATTGGTGCTAGAGTTATGAACCTTGTCACATAAGATGTGGTTGATGATAAGGAACATATATTTGAAGTATGAAGTTGATCCCTTAAGAAATAAAGAAGTTACAGTAAAAAATAATATTTTTTAAGGAAAATTCTAAGTTCAAGGGGAGATAAATCTGAAAATATTGGTGCTAGAGTTATGAACCTTGTCACATAAGATGTGGTTGATGATAAGGAACATATATTTGAAGTTTGAAGTTGATACCTTAAGAAATGACAAAGTTATAGTGAAAAATATTTTACTGCACCAAAACTTTAATCTGAAATCTGGAGACTGACGCAGGGACGAGTAGGACAGCTCTCCATATACTTCGTATAGTCGAGCTAAAAAGTATATACGTTAGTAGATGTATGCATTTTATATGAAAAGACAGTGGAAGTTGTGGGTGTGTCTTTGTCATATACACACATTTCAAGTAAACTATATAAAGTTATTTTTTGTTACACAGGTGGGCCTAGAATATGATGAAGATAGAGCTTTGCATACATTGCCTCCAGGTTTGGTTGTTAAGTCTTCTAGTATTATTGGGGCTGGTTTAGGAGTGTTTACTGAGAGAGAAATTCCACCTCGTGTCATGTTTGGACCATATGGAGGTGTTGAGATACACGATGAGATGACAGCTCATGACTCTGGCTACTGTTGGCAGGTAAAACTTTCACATAGAGTTCATGATTAGATTTTATGTTGTTTTTTTCTCAAAAGGGGTGTGGAGTGTAATTTTATTGCCAATAATGTTTCTATTTTTCCTTGTAATGTCTGGATGATAATTACTATATGTCAATATATAGAGAATAACATGCAAGCCTGAGACGCCCTTTAATTCTAGCCCATATCAGCCTCGCCTGATAAAATTGATATCAAAAGACAGTAGCATGTTTTTCTATTTATCATGTAACACATTATAACTGTCAAAATAAAAAAATAATCTACTTTTAAATAGCGAATTTCGTTAAAAAGGGGTATTTTTGTTCAAAGAAATAATTCTTGAAAACAAATTCCTCCCCCCCTGAAACTTGGAATTTGTAAATGGCGGCCATTTTTTCTTTCGACTCGGATAAAAGATACAGCAGAAGTAGGCTTAATACGATAAAATTCTTACCTTTAATTTAAACATCAATCCAAAAATCCACTTAGAATCACATTAATTAAACTTTACTGCAATTTTTGTCTTGAATTGTCAAATTCAAAAGTTGACGATAATTTCAATCAAAGAAAAGTCAAATCGGCAACCAAACACAAGCTACACAAACATGCGTCTTATTTTTTAAACGAAACAATTTGTTCACTTATTAAATAATAATCCGGCGAAATAAATTAAACATAATTTACAAGTTCTCAAAGAAAATCGTCTAGCCTGTTTGTTGTGATTACATGTATAGTATGACGTGAACATTGATGATGTCATTTGCAACATAAATTATGACGTATCTTCATTAAACTATTCGCTATCTAAATTATTCGCTATCTAAATCGAAATAATAAATAAATAAATATCGCATTGTAAGGGTATGAGATTACATTGTAGAATTCACATGCTGATGAAAATGAGAATACATGTATAAGCAATTGGAAAAAGTCCGTTAAAATGGGCAGGGCTTATTTTTGATATCAGGTTACTGACCTGATATCAAAAATAATTATCAGGCAAGTGTTATGGGGCAGTCACCATAGTAGTTGCATGATAAATAACTGTTCATTTATAGGAAAAATATTAGCAGCCCAATTCAGAACACTTGCTAGAGCTGGTAACTGGTATTTAGAATGACCTTGGTTGAGTTCCATTCGGACTGCACTTTTTTCTCACCCTGTGACTGTGACATATTTTATCTTAAATATCTTCAGATAATAATGTTTGATTTATCAGCTTGCTATTTTTTTTCAATTGTCTGTTGGACAAATAAGTTGATGTAAGACACACTATATATTGAAACGTACCCGGGGTCTGCTAGCCCGGACACACTTCAATATCGACACGTGGGTTCTTCTCAAACACACGTAAATGGATAAGGGAAAATAGGGACACAAGGACTAAAAGATACGGACACCTGAAATAAGATTAACACAACCATTTATTAAATATACATTTCACAAACAATAAAATTGGTATATAGTATCTTCTATGGATGGCTCTGGCTTGGGCTCCTCGTCTTAGGTCAGGAATATTCTTCTGTTACGTCTAGAATAATGTATAATATAAGATGTAATGAGAGGCTTGACAAATACGGTGTCACGTCTTGCCTGTGGTCTGGTACGAATTCTATGGTAGGATTTACCATGAAATGCTATAAGGTTGATGGGGTATCTAAAATGGTAACTACAAAATACAGTGGTGTTCTACCCTGGTATATGGGTATCGCTATAAAATATGGGGTTATGGCTATGGAAACTTGGTCTACAGTCAGGATCTATCATAAATGGAAAATAATGCCAAACTAGGTGATTTAATATAAAACTTCTATATAAACTATTACTGGCACAAAGTATTATATACCTTTCTGGTGGCTGGAGATACATCCATATTCAATAATGTATAGATGTGGTCTGGTGGCTATCTACCAAGGTACTGACAATTTTGGCAGATTCGGGCTGCTATTTATAGTCTGGGACGCTGGGTGGCTAGCTTGGCTAGGGTGCCTAGCTTGGCAGTATCGTCATCGTCTCCGATGACGTCACTGCCTAGCTCGCGCGGGCAGAAATTTAGCCAGTGCCAGCTGCCATGTTTAAATTGGCAGCGTGTGGCTAATTGAACATTAAAACGGCTACAACGTAGAAAATAAGTTATTTTAAGTAATATAACCATCGTAAATATTAAAAGGATGAAGTTATCTGTACATGTAGTGTATGTTTTGATGATTAAAAGTTGATGTCATGAAGTACAGTTAATTACTTCAGTACTTGAGTAGTTTCCGGATACGGGTTTATTTTCGGACGTAAAATGATGGGCCTGATCGTTACATTGCACCCCGCTCACATGGATTCAGCCCCTGAATAGTAGGAAGGTAAGTATATTTACAGTCGGAAGGTTTATCATTTTACCTAAATAATGTCATTGGTAACACGACATAATGAAATAATTATATTATCGGGTAATTATCATTTGATAATTGGTTATTACATTAATTAGACAGAGGAGTTTAACTCAATTATTTGTCAAACTTGGTAGGTAACAGTTTAGGTCATAGACACATCGTATTAATGCATATATTAATTATTATACATGCATAGTAATAATTTAAATTTGCTAAATATTTGCAAATTTTCCATGTTGGAACATACATGTACGTATTGTCGGAATTGACAAAATAATTTATGGGTGTTGTATAATTACAACTTCAATTATATGGCATAAACAAATTAATCATATAAAGGGTCATGTATACAGGTATCATTCACTCCGCACAGTCAAACATTTAAATATCGCATTCAAATAGAGCTCTAATAAAGCATTCATAAATAAATACATGTATTTAATATTTACAGTGAATAGAGAGCTTGGGTGTATTGGTTAGTTGGTCACCTGGAGAAAGCGGTTATTACCAACTGCTCATCTAAACAGAAGTATACTTCATTACATCCTCAGCCTAAAATACACTCCTTACAGTGGGACACTGCACAATCATGGCTGGTACATTTAATAATATTCATAATAAATTAACACTTGGCTAATTTAAGCACATAGGCCGGCAAGTCATATAGACAATATATCATCATAGTAATTAAATATCATAACATATATGGCCAATATTTGGTACCCCCCAAGGTATACCAATAATAAAACTTCACTCTTTGCTTTCAAAGGTGGCATCACTTCTTTATAAGTGGAATACAAAACATTGCACTGTTTTGGTTAATCATTTAAAATTTCAATGTCATCACTCTAAATGGTAATTAGCTGTCCATTAAATAACTTTTAGGTCATAATGTTTCAGGCTAATTTGATGGTAATGGTATAATGTCTCTTATTCTATTTGATTTCTTCATTTAGAGTAACGTTCTCCAGGTTCGAGTTTTGTTATTCTCCAGGTTTGTCATATTACGGGAAAAAGGACCACTCTGATGTGCAAGCAGAGGAACGATGGTGTCCACCTGAAGTCAATATTTTTGAACAACAGGGAGCGGGTTAAAATGTCCACCAGATGAACAGGCAGTTGAGTAAACAGCTGTTCAAATGGGAGCAGGAAGGGGGTCCACCTGAAACTCATCAATGTAAAGGGTTGATTTGTAACAAGGAGCGGTGTATTTGGAATTCCATGTCTTCATTTTTGTTAAATATTCATCAGCTGGATTGGTAAGAATAGGTATACATTATTTATTTAAATATCACTTTCATTTAGGATCATAAGTATCATAGAACAACAACAACTAGTTGGTTTAAACTTCCTCTTATTATTAATCTCTATATTTTTTTTATATGTAATGGCATATTAGTAGCATATAAGAATTTAACTGTCTAGTCTGTTTGTCATGTATCTGTTAGATTGATCTCTTTTAAGGTCAGTTAAGTCTCTATTAATTGACTCTAATGATTTGCAAATGGTATCAAGTTTAAGGTCTTTTCTTTCCTGTTCTGGGTCAGTGACTGATGCTACTAATTTATTTCTTTGTTTATCTGCTGTACGGAAAGCCTCTAATCTAATAGCTGCTTGTTCAGCTTCTAATAGGGTTTTTGGTGATATTTCCTTTAGTCTTAATCTAATCTCTGAGTCTGTAATAGCATCAATAAAATGATCTAAGGCTATGGCCTCAATTACTTCTTTAGAAGCACTGGCATAAGTGTTTCTGGTCAGTCTGTATATATCTTGTGACAATTGAGAAATTGTCTCCCCTTTTTGTTTTACTCTGGTTTTAAGTTTGGCTTTAAAAATGTCTGTTCTATTGGCTGGACCATAACGTTGGTTAAGTAGGTCAACTAGCAGTTTATAGTCACAATGGTCTCTTGTATCAATCTCAGTCAACATTGATCGGGCATCACCTTTTAAACAGCTAGCTAGGCATAGTCCTTTGGATCTAATGTTCCAATTATTTAAATCACTACAAATTTGGAATGATATTAAAAATTCATTCAAATCTTCGGTACCATCAAAAGTTGGGGGTTTCACTTTGATAGTGTTTGTATTTGACATTCTATATGAAGAGGTCTGGTCATCATAAGAAATATTACTGCTAGGTATGTCAGTAGAATTTGAATTTCTGTTTTCAAATATATCTTGTCTTCTTTCTATGTTTTAAGTCTCTGGTCTACAGCTTCTCCCATTGAAGTGAGAGCATTTTTCATTTGTGTAGCAATCTCAAGCATTTTAGCTTCAGATTGGCTAAATATTGTCTTGTGCGAAAGAGGCTGGTCTTGAATAGTCTGAGTCTTGAGATAAAGAATCTTCTCTATCTGTATTTGTATGGTCTACATGGACATCAATGTCCATATCAATTCGATTTTGTGCCATCTGGTAACGAATAGCAATGTCAGGTTTGGTTATAATTATTCTATGTACTATGTATAATAAAAATAATAAAACTAGGTATAATGTATAATGTCTATTCCTTTCTGCTTTCAGGTTGGCCAGACAAGAATGCAGTCAGCAATGGGCATTCAAATAAGGCTATAATCATGCATCCAACCAACAAGTAAACTTGTTTGATTGAATGGTCAGCACCTTGGAAGATCAAAAATCTGGATCAGCAAATGAAATGAACTATGATACATAAATAATAAAATGTTCTGTCTCTTGGTCTCCTGGTTATTTCCCTGTAATGGTAAAGCAGACAACTGTTAATGGTTGATGATGGATCAATCTGGAAAATCTCATAAAATCATTGGAATCCCACTTCTGACACCAGTTGAAACGTACCCGGGGTCTGCTAGCCCGGACACACTTCAATATCGACACGTGGGTTCTTCTCAAACACACGTAAATGGATAAGGGAAAATAGGGACACAAGGACTAAAAGATACGGACACCTGAAATAAGATTAACACAACTATTTATTAAATATACATTTCACAAACAATAAAATTGGTATATAGTATCTTCTGTGGATGGCTCTGGCTTGGGCTCCTCGTCTTAGGTCAGGAATATTCTTCTGTTACGTCTAGAATAATGTATAATATAAGATGTAATGAAAGGCTTGACAAATACGGTGTCACGTCTTGCCTGTGGTCTGGTACGAATTCTATGGTTGGATTTACCATGAAATGCTATAAGGTTGATGGGGTATCTAAAATGGTAACTACAAAATACAGTGGTGTTCTACCCTGGTATATGGGTATCGCTATAAAATATGGGGTTATGGCTATGGAAACTTGGTCTACAGTCAGGATCTATCATAAATGGAAAATAATGCCAAACTGCCAAACTAGATGATTAAATAAAAAGCTTCTATATAAACTATTACTGGCATAAAGTATTATATACCTTTCTGGTGGCTGGAGATACATCCATATTCAATATACTATAGATGTGGTCTGGTGGCTATCTACCAAGGTACTGACCATTTTGGCAGATTCGGGCTGCTATTTATAGTCTGGGACGCTGGGTGGCTAGCTTGGCAGTATCGTCATCGTCTCCGATGACGTCACTGCCTAGCTCGCGCAGGCAGAAATTTAGCCAGTGCCAGCTGCCATGTTTAAATTGGCAGCGTGTGGCTAATTGAACATTAAAACGGCTACAACGTAGAAAATAAGTTATTTTAAGTAATATAACCATCGTAAATATTAAAAGGATGAAGTTATCTGTACATGTAGTGTATGTTTTGATGATTAAAAGATGATGTCATGAAGTACAGTTAATTACTTTAGTACTTGAGTAGTTTCCGGATACGGGTTTATTTTCGGACGTAAAATGATGGGCCTGATCGTTACAATATCGTTATAAAGGCAATTCTTAAGTGACATTATAAATGCATCTTTTCCTTATTTCTTACAAAAACATTTTTTTTGTCTACCATACCTTATGGGGGTGTTACAATAAGGCAAAAATGATATTGCAATATATTGCCATTTTGCCAAAGCGTTATAATTGCAATATATGGCAATATGTATTGTCGGGTATATGTTTTGATGTAAAGATGGAGTAACATTATTTATTATTATTATATGTATATATTCTTAGTAGAAAGTGTCACACAATTTGATAAACAAAACTAAAGTTGTGCATGACCTTTCACACCTAGGCCGCTTATGTAAATTATGCAGCCACTTCCTTCAACTTTTAAGTGTACTAGTTGTCGGATATTTTTATCTTGCCATGACGCCAATAAAATTCACCAATAAAAGATTTTATGCGAAAAAATCATACCATAGTACAAAATTTATTTTTTCATATTGCAATATATCGGTATACTGGTAAACCATTACACCCTTAATACCTTATATTTTTGGGGCAAAAAAGTACAAAATGTATATATATCTAAACCTCAAAGAAAAGAAATCTTAACTTCAAAGAAAGAAAGCATAATTACCAAAATATATGAATTGTCAAGTCAACTGTTGAGTTTAAAACTTTTATTAGGTCTAATCTTAGCAAAAACTTGTAACCTATTACATAATCACATCAACATATAATTTTGAATTTTCGCTTATTTTTGTTGTAGATTTATGCAAATGGCAAGCCGAGCCATTTTGTGGATGCTAGAGATAAAGTAACTTCAAACTGGATGAGATATGTTAATTGTGCACCCAGTGAATCTGAACAAAATCTTGTAGCATTTCAATTCAAGGGCAATATTTATTATCGGTCATACAAAACAATATTCCCTGGAACTGAACTGCTTTGCTGGTATGGCAATGAATATGGGAGAGAACTTGGACTTGTGCGAGATAAAAACCTACTAATCAGACCTAAACTTGTAAATGGACAAGGTACATGTATTTTGTTTACATTTTTCTCGATAGTTAACTAACTGTGACTTATGAAAGAGATTATAAGGGTGTTTTCTTTTTGTTCTTGCTAGAGATAATTTATTTTTTAGATTTTGATTAATTGAATTCTTTGCCAAAATAAATGCCAAATGTAGGCCTTTTCTAAATTCACAGATCTGTTGAAATGCATCTTTAATATCTACTGAGTGAAAAGTGAACTTTTTGAAAGGTTTTGTGCAAATTATTCCCATTTCTCTTTTCCTGTTACAATGCTAAATTTAAAAATATAGTCTGCTCTTATTAAACATTAGGTAAAAATCGTTGCTATTTGTAATACTAAACAATATTTTATAAGGAAAAGTAGATCTACAAAAAGTACAGATGTGACAAATAAAAGAAAAAGTAATGAAAAAATAATTATTGTTATTTTCAGAGTGCTTTTCCTGTGTGTATTGTAAATCATCATTTACCACTGCAATTTATAATGTTAGACATCTCCTTCGTATGCATGGTAGAAACAAACTCTCTCAAACTGATATTCAAGTGCTTGATGCATGGCTGCGAAAAAATGATGCAGAAGAATATTCTAAAGAAAGGCAGAAAAAACGTTATATTGGTGTAAAAAATCACTCTGAACAACCTACAAAACCAAATAAAAATGTTCAGTATGAAGGTCAAGATACACATCAAAATGCTGAAGAAAAATTGTGGAAGGAAAATAATCTTTATTGTACAGATAGTAAAAGTGCAGTATATAAAAGTAAACATGAGGGAGAGAAACGTTATAAATGTGATATTTGTGATTATGCATGTAATTATAGTGGTGATCTAAAGAAACATAAGAGAATACATACAGGAGAGAAATGTTATAAATGTGATGTTTGTGATTTTGCAAGTTATCAAAGTGGTCACCTAAAGACACATAAGAGAATACATACAGGAGAGAAATGTTTTAAATGTGATGTTTGTGATTATGCAAGTAATGATTGGGGTAATCTAAAGAGACATGAGAGAATACATACAGGAGAGAAATGTTATAAATGTGATGTTTGTGATTATGCATGTAATACAAGTGGTTATCTTAAGACACATAAGAGAATACATACAGGAGAGAAATGTTATAAATGTGATGTTTGTGATTATGCAAGTAATGATGGGGGTAATCTAAAGTCACATAAGAGAATACATACAGGAGAGAAATGTTTTAAATGTGATGTTTGTGATTATGCATGTAATACAAGTAGTAATCTAAAGACACATAAGAGAATACATACAAGAGAGAAATGTTATAAATGTGATGTTTGTGATTATGCATGTAATCAAAGTGGTGATCTAAATAAACATAAGAGAATACATACAAGAGAGAAATGTTTTAAATGTGATGTTTGTGATTTTGCATGTAATAGAAGTGATACTCTAAAGACACATAAGAAAAAACATATAGAAAAAATTTAAGAAAAAATAGAATAAGTTTTAGAAATTGATTTTTCAATGACGTTTGTTGTTGTTATTGTTGTTTGGTGTATGTTCACAAAAAGTGCCAAAGTAGTCTACCTCATGTTTTAGAACACATTTAATGAAAATAATGAATCTAGAATGAATTTGTCTTTAAGAATATGTATACTGAGTGACTTTCACTGCTACACATTAACTTAGTCATTTGCCTTTGAAAAAAAATCAGATTTTAGTTAGTAAACCACTTCTATCAGATTGGATATGTTCCAACTAAGAAAATAAGTACTTAATAGGGTGTGTTTTGTCGAGAAAAAACTAATTAAAAGCTATTTGTTTCTAGTTTATATTGTACGGCACTTTAATACAGCATTTTTCAGTTCCTGAATTTGAAAATGATTTCTTAAAAAAAAACTTTTCCAAAATTTCACTTTGAAACCACATCTATTACATGGAAAATGTTCTAACTAAGAAAATAAGTACCAACAAGTGTGTATTTTGTCCAAAAATAAAAAAGTTAAGGCAATTTTTTGTAATCAATGTTACTTAAATATTTTTAAATTTATCATTGAAAGATTTATTTTGTTAATTTTTGCCTCCAACTTGATTTTATCAGAAATAAATAAGTTAAATCCACTGAGCTGTAATTTTATTTTTGCTCTCTGAATGAAGTAAATGAAATAAAATATAAAACAATTGATTTTACACTGACTCATACTTTTTAATTGTCTTGACTCAAAAATGAAAAAGAAAAATGTTTATCCATAAATTTCATCTGCATTCCAATAAATGAAATTATGGTCAAGAGAAGAAAAAAGTTCTACATTTTTTCTTTCCCTCTGCTTTCTGATCAAGTTGGAAAAGAAGGAAAAGGAAGCTAAGGTTTGGGACAAGTTTGTATTTTATTGCACTCAACTGGATTACAAAAACATATTTAATTGATATTTGAGTCAAGGAAATTCCTGGGTTATTATACCCCCGCACAACAAAGTTGTAAGGGGGGTATACTGGAATCAGCTTGTCCGTCCGGCCGTCCGTCGGTTTTTTCTTGTCCGCCCAATAACTTAAGATATCATTGACCCTTAGTCTTCATATTTGGCATGGAGGTTAGTCATGATTAGTAGATGACCCCTATTGATTTTGAGATCACTAGGTCAAAGGTCAAGGTCACAGGGGCCTTGACTTCAAAAACCTTGTCCGCCCAATAACTTAAGATTCCTTTGACCTACAGTCTTCATATTTGGCATGGAGGTTAGTCATGATTAGTAGATGACCCCTATTGATTTTGAGGTCACCAGGTTAAAGGTCAAGGTCACAGGGGCCTTGACTTCAAAAAGCTTGTCCGCCCAATAACTTAAGATTCCTTTGACCTACAGCCGTCATATTTGGCATGAAGGTTAGTCATGATTAGTAGATGACCCCTATTGATTTTGAGGTCACCAGGTCAAAGGTCAAGGTCACAGGGGCCTTGACTTAAAAAAGCTTGTCCGCCCAATAACTTAAGATTCCTATGACCCAAAGTCTTCATATTTGGCATGGAGGTTAGTCATGATTAGTAGATGACCCCTATTGATTTTGAGGTCACTAGGTCAAAGGTCAAGGTCACAGGGGCCATGACTTTAAATAGCTTGTCCGCCCAATAACTTAAGATTCCTTTGACCCATAGTCTTCATATTTGGCATGGAGGTTAGTCATGATTTGTTGATGACCCCTATTGATTTTGAGGTCATCAGGTCAAAGGTCAAGGTCGCAGGGGCCTTGACTTCAAAAACCTTGTCCACCCAATAACTTAAGATTCCTTTGACCCATAGTTTTCATATTTGGCATTGAGGTTAGACATGATTAGTAGATGACCCCTATTGACTTTGAGGTCACCAGGTCAAAGGTCAAGGTCACAGGGGCCTTGACTCTTCAAAAAGCTTGTCCGCCCTATAACTTAAGATTCCTTTGACCCACAGTCTTCATGTTTGGCATGGAGGTAAGTCATGATTAGTAGATGACCCCTATTAATTTTGAGGTCACCAGGTCAAAGGTCAAGGTCACAGGGACTTTGACTTCAAAAAGTTTGTCCACCCATTTACTTAAGATTCCTTTGACCCACAGTCTACATATTTGGCATGGATGTTGATCATGACTATAAGGTGACCCCTATTGACTTTGAGGTCACTGGGTCGAAGGTCAAGGTCACAGGGACCTTGACAAAAAAAGCTTTTCTTCTCAATTGCTAAAGAATGTCCTGTCCGCAATGTATTGATTTTGACATTTTCACATTTTAAGCTTGTAGAATACATAACTTAGCAATGCACTGGCTTAGTAACCTCAGATTTGGCAGGGAGGTTGTCCTTGAGCGCTAAATGGCCACTGTTGATTCTGACAAAGTGGTATGCAGGGGTATTCACGCCAAGATAGTGGCAGTTCTAGTTTTACCATTTTCTCTCATATCTTAAATTCTTTATCATCATATAACAATTGGAAATAGATAGATTTTTTTTTTGCATTACACAGTAAACTCCGCTTATAGCTAACTCATTGGGACATTCAAAATCTGTTCCTTATATCCGGAGTTCCTTGTAAGCATATAGCGAATTAGTTCCTTATATCAGAAATTTTTAAAGCGAACAGTTTTACATATAACAAAGTAATTGTTAACCATTATCCTCCATTTTGAAGAGCATTTTGATTAAGAGAAATAACTTGGATTCTTTGCTATTTCAATCTTAGTTTTTCTGCCTTTTTCAATATCTCGTAAAATATCATATTTTGTTTCTAAACTCAGCGCTTTTCGTTTTCTTTTCATTGTAAAGAATAAACAAGAGTTCGATTTTTGCTTCCTTTTATAATGAATATCTTCTATTATATTTTAAGGGTGACTTTTACTCAAGATAGATGCTGATCTCTTTTTATTCAACCAAGCTTTCTTTTCAATGGACTTTAATAGAGAAATAGCATGATTTATTATGTTGAAAACCGATTGCAAATAATCATAATTATTTTCCTCGGGCAATAATCTTAAAGAGAAAAATAAAAGGATAAAATGAATAATCGTTTTATCTTGGTGACAAGAACTAATGCTACAAATACCTATTAGGTATTGCTATACACCTGTGTTGAAGTACATACAACAATAAACAGTACATTCCGTCAATTTCTAATCTGTGCCATTATGAAAACGAAAGTTAAGAAAAGGTGTGATCTGTTTACGGATAGCCGATTATGGAGTTTGTTATAAAAGTGTAATTTTCTGTACTTTTTATGGCATTGGGACTAAAAAATTTGTTCCTTATAAGCGATAATTCCTTATAAAAGTGTTCGCTGTAACCGTATTTTTTTATATTAAATAAAGAAGGGCAAAATCTGGGCCAATATTTTTTGTTCCTCATAACCGGTAGTTCGCTATAACCGTGTTCGCAATATGTGAAGTTTACTGTATTATAGTGTTTATCTTTTAAATGCTTTGTGATTATTTTCCTTCTATGTCCAAAATGCGTCAAAAAGTGGCATCATTTCAACATGGTTCATTGATAAAATGGGATCAGGTGATCATATATTGAAGGTGTTGGTTAAAAATTAATGAAATCACAAAATTTGATATGCAAGAAAATGTAAGATGGCTTGCAATTGGAAAAAATTACCAGTGTGTACAACTTCATTAGAAACAAAATGTCATATCTTTTCAAAGTAAAAGAAAGCTAGGTAATATTTTAAAATCAATCTAAACCTTTTTGTGTTGTTGGTCTAAAACTTACTGGTTTTTGAATTTTAAAACCATTTTTTGGCTAAAATCCAACCAAATGCTGTTAACAGAAAAAATGTGACACCCTTGATATATATGAAAATAATAACATACATAGATGCTATTTTAAGATACATGGTTACATCATCATTCCCACCATTTATTTTATTCTCTCATGTCATCAACAATAATAAATGAAGTAATATCTATTGCTAAATGTATATATTATGCAATGAATGTAAGAAATTACAAATTCAATTCATTACATCTAGTAACAAATGTATTTGCAATCACTGCAATTTTTCATCATGTATTTTTCCCCAATTTTCAACAAATAACATTGCTGAAATTTTCAATTCCATGGGTATGGGTCATGCTCACAAAATCCTGGGAACTCAAAGATTTAGGGTTTTTTATTAAAAATTTTATTCTGTAACTTTCAATTGGGAACTTTTTCCTGCGGATTAGATGTATATGATATTATCAATGAACTGATTATTAAAATGTTTATCACTTAAAATATTTTAGCATTATATGTATAGGACAGTTCAGACAGTGTGATATGACTTTATCTTATTGGGAAACAGAGTAACATTGCCAACTTTTAACCAATTTTATAATCACCTCTCTGCAATTTGTGTCTGTAAAAGGACTTAAGATATTCTTTCACAGGAAGTTCTTCATCAGATTTTCTGACGGTTGATGGTCCTACTCAGGTGCTTTGCACATGACTGAAAATAATGCATGAAATGCACTCCAGGTCTTCCTGGAAAGTCATCATAACATTAATTGTGCTCTGGTGTACAACCATCACTTGTATATAATTGTTATTTAAGAAACAATATATCCTGTACAGTGATTTTATTGCTCAATAAAATCTTTGTTTAGAGTTTGGATGCCAAGAATTATATCACAGGGCGTAGTCATACTATGATGTGCATCCGGACGACGTATTATTTCGTTTCTAACGCATCATAAATGCTACCATACCTGATATTAACCTAAATTGTGCCTTATTTGTTTCCGTATATCTTATATGAAGCGTGTCACATTTTTAGTGGTTACGTCACATGTAGAATTATTATGTCACATATCTAAAAATAGAAAGTCAACAGTGATTTTATTGCATACTAACACACACTTTCAGTTCTCCTATGTTCAATAGGGAAAAATGCGGGTTGTGTTAGAATTTTCAATATCTCATTAAAAAGCTTATTTACTTGTATATGTAACCTTAGTAACCTGATACAGATTTTCATTTTGAATGAAGGAATTTATTTAGATTCATTTTGAATCTTGCCTTACAGCAGCTCTTAATATTTAGAAATTTGGCTCAAGTTTTTGTTTACTTTCTTTCCTAATTAAGCATTTATTACGTGATTTATCTGAAGTCATGATTTCTTAAGAAATTGTCATATTAAAACATTTGTATATAATTGGACTCACACATATTTTAATTATGCCGTTCTCACAAAATTGAATCTGAACACAAGTTTATTGCCAAATTTGTTGAATATTTCTAAATTTATCTTAAAATTACGAAACAATATTGTGTACCTAAATGTTATTTAATTATGATGCTTTTTTCTGTACAGCATTTAGTACATTTCAAAAAGAGAAATTGTGAAATATGAATGTATATACATGTTTTAGATGAAAATAATTGTCATTATTTAGAGAAATGACATTATGTAGCTATAATAGTTGTCAGTATTTTACATACACATGTATATTTATTTTATTGAATTTTTATGAAATGCACTTTGTGTTTTGACAATGTTGTTACAAATTATTTGTTTTTCTGTCTTATTGTTTGATATATTGAAACAATGATAAATTGTATTATTATATTACCCCAAGTGCCTTAAACCATGCTAAATATCTTAAACTTTCAATTTGGACCAAACCATTTACATTTTTTGGTAAAACTTGAAAGCAAATTCATGTTTGCCTTTTCTTAAAGAGCTAGAAATGAAAAAAATAATTTCTGTAACTTTAAATGATTTAACCTGTCCCTCAGACACTAGCGTTCAATGGAACAAATGCCCCTTGTTGTTAGCTCAAGTTATTCTTGCATGTTAACTAAGAAATGTCACTTTTCACATTTGCTTTAAAAAATTTGTTTTAGTCATTTTATATGCCCGAAAGGGCATATTATGTTATATCCCCTGGCATCCGTCTGTCTGTCCGTCCGTCTGCCTGTTAGCAATTTGGTTTCCGGAGCATAACTTAAGTTCCATTTAGCCTACAATGTTCAAACTTCATAGGATGATTGTCCATATTGGGTAGAAGACCCCTATTGATTTTGGGGTCAAAAGGTCAAAGGTCAAGGTCACTATTACCTTAAAACTGAAAACAGTTTCCGGAGCATAACTTAAGTTCCATTCGACCCACAATGTTTGAACTTCATAGGATGATTATCCATATTAGGTAGAAGACCCCTATTGATTTTGGGGTCACAAGGTCAAAGGTCAAGGTCACTATTACCTTGATACTGAAAACAGTTTCCGGAGCATAACTTAAGTTCCAATTAGTCCACAATGTTAAAACTTTATAGGATAATTGTCCATATTGGGTAGAAGACCCCTATTGATTTTGGGGTCAAAGGTCAAGGTCACTATTACCTTAAAACTGAAAACAGTTTCGGGAGCATAACTTAAGTTCCAATAGACCCACAATGTTCAAACTTAGGATGATTGTCCATATTGGGTAGAAGACCCCTATTGATTTTTGGGTCACAAGGTCAAAGGTCAAGGTCACAATTACCTGAAACCAAAAACAGTTTCTGGAGCATAGCGTAAATTCCATTTTGCCCACTATATTTAAACTTCATATGAAGATTGTCCATATTTGGTAGAAGACCCCTATTGATTTTGGGGTCACAAGGTCAAAGTCACTTTTACCTTAATACTGAAAACAGTTTCTAGAGCATAATTAAAGTTCCAATTGGCCCACAATATTCAAACTTCTTAGGATGATTGTCCATATAAGGTAGAAGACCCCTATTTTGGGGTCACAAGGTCAAAGGTTAAGTCATTTTTAATAACTTAAGTATTAATCAATCTACAGCTGTAAAATTTTATAGGATGAACAGCTAATTCCCATGTCTTACAAATGCTTCATCCTTACTAAAAAAAAAAACCACTTTCGGGCATGATTAATGCTCCGCCTAGCGGTGCTCTTGTTCTTCTTGTGTTGTCAGAGTAAAATTACTGTCTTTTTTTATCATAAATGATTAATTTAGCATGTTTTAAAAGAAACTGCTTGCCAAGAACTGTTTGACAAATCACAATGATGGTGAAAAATGACAAAATTTGGTGTTTTGATTGATTGAAAGTCTGAAAAGAAACTCAACTGTTCAATATATGCAAACTAAGAAAAAAGAAATGTAACTGTTTTATATTCACTTATGGCTATAGATACGATTCTGTTCTCTTTTTATTTTGGTAATAAAATAATTTTAACCATGAATAAGATCATAAAAGTACATTTCTAGGGTAATGTATTAATACTCAAATTTGCTGCACACCTGGTGAAATTTGAGTGGATATAAACATCCAGTTTTGGCCACTCATTGTTGCAGTAAGCTAGTTATCACATTTATGTGTGCTCATGATTTGTATAAGTCATGCAAAGTTAAATAGAATTTTTAAAACCAAATTTCAGATTTTTTTGAGCTCTTAAAACACATGTAGGTGTTTTTTAAGTTTTTTGTTTTAGTTTTCTTATCAGAAGATTCACATTTTAATTAGTTTATTAATTTAATCCTTTATCTACTGGCATCAACAGACCCATGTAATCTGCAATGTTTGCTTTTAATTCAGTCAATAAATTAGCTATGTCACGACAAAACCAACATAATGGGTTTGCGACCAGCATGGATCCAGACCAGCCTGCACATCCGCTCAGTCTGATCAGGATCCATGCTGTTCGCTATCAGTTTCTCTTCTTGTAATAGGGT